TGAACAGGTGAGCACCCTGCCTAAGCTTCTTGTGGTGACAAAGACACCAGCCAGAAGGAAAAACACGGGAAGACAGAACCAGGAGTGCGGCCAGATTTAGGAAGACGTGTTGGTCCTTTGACATCCTCAAGGAACATTGCTGCCTTCTCTGGAGAAGCAGATGGGATTAACACGTTGATTATTGCAGTCTATTGTCCTTAAAGGACGCCAGCATTTGTCTGTCTCTTTCTAGGACATGAACTAAACTAACTAAACGAAACCAAACCCCATGTACACAGGGCATCTGCAAAACTGTTGTTGGAAGCCTCCTAGGTCACAGTGTTGGCAAACTGCGGCCCCTGGAGTGTGGCTCTTCCACAAAATACCACGTGCGGGCGCACACGTACAGTGCGATTGAAACTTCGTGGCCACACTCAAGGGGCCAAAGAGTCGCATGTGGCTCGCGAGCCGCAGTTTGCCGACCACTGGTCTAGGACATTATGCAGACTTGCTCTCCATGGTTCCACTAGAAAACAGAAAAGAGTTTGCCCACCAGGTGTCAGTAGGGTGAGAACGCTGTAGTTGGGCTCACCATTAAACTGACATGAGACGATTGTAACTGGATGTGAATACCAGCCCATACATTTCACACCAAAAGGAGTGGGTGAAAAGGACAACATTCATTTCCTTTTTGAAGCAGTTGCCCACTGTGCCTACAGATGTTGCTGTGGACTTCTGGTAAACACCCCATGTCCATGTCTAAGGCAGAATGAAGCTCTGATGCTTGGGGGACCTGAGCTATAGCTAGTGAAGAAGTCAGCATTCTCCCCAGAATGCCTGCAGTGCGGGTCATAAGTACACGTACAGCATCGGACACGCAGACTCCCAAGGCATACCCTCCAGAGACCGGCTCAGTCCATCTGGGCGAGAGCCCACAGTGTGCCTTAATATTTACCCAAGTGACTCAAAACCTTTGAGTTTTACAAGTTCCATGCTTGACAGTAAGTAGCGTTTTAGACAAAGTTGTAATCCCAACTAAAATACTGAGTGTGCATTTTAAAGTAATTCATGTGGCTGTAATATGACATGTTTTTATTGAAAATAAGACCAATGTATAATAAAGAGCTTCCTTTATATTATTTTAATGACCTAAGTGCTTTATTTCCATTTAACCATTTCCACCTGGCGTGAAAAAGATTACAAACCCATTTTCAGCCTCTGCATTTTTTACTTCTGGAGTTCCTGCTCTTCATAACCAATTACTCTTCCATGACTGCCATGGGATTACCACCAGTCATTATGAATCACAAGTAAAATTTAGCTCGTGTCAGAAATTGTTTAGGAGCTCCCACTTGGTTTCTAGGTAGGTAGAGCATTTAATTAAATGCATTGAAATAGTCTAAGTTCTACTACTTTTGGTTCTTTCATAAAGATTTAGTCTGTTGCTGCAATGCCATAAAGATTACAGGCGCTGCATGCCATCATTTCTTCCTTTATACAATTCCCGCTGTAAATGCTTTTTCCCAGCGTGGGGGCCCTCGTCTGTCTCCTGCCTGGACCCCCTCCAATTCCACGCCGCTCAGTTTCTAAGGAGCCTCTGCCACGGTCTCCTTTGCAGCCAACACACCCTCAGGAAACATGGTTTCTCAATCGGTTATTCTCAACCATCTACCATAAGCCGGCTTCCCTCCCCCCCCCCCCTGCCACACGGGATTAAGTTTTATTAAAACAGTTTATAGTAAGATAATTATATTTGAAAGTGTTTTCTTTTCTTTCAGGGAAAGCTATAAACTGCAGATAACCTTTTAATGAAATTCTTTAATTGTTTTTTTTTTTTTATGTGTGTGTTTTAGTCATTTACGGGCAATGAAAAAGATTTGTGTGAATCTGGAGCTCTTCCATTCAGCTAAAACAGGGATTTCCACCTCTCGCTTTCAGCTCCTGATCACGTACTGCAGAATGTCCCCAGTGCCACAGTCCATCCAGAAAACTCTTCAATCTATTTCCTTTCATGTGTTTTTGGAAAGAACTCAAGTATTTTCTAAAAGGGGGCATGTGGGCCTGGGAGATGGAGATAGAGATAAGTCTCCTACTTGGTTCCTCTGCTGGTATGCCCCCCTCCTGCCCGCCCCGCCTCGCTCTCTCGCTCTGTCAGATCTCAGTGACTTCTGTTTCCAACACGCCGTCCATTCTGTTCTGCATCTGGCTGCATCCAAGAATGCTTGGAGTGTTGTGCAGGGGTTTGACTCCCTTCGCTTTCCAGGAGGTCATTATTGATCTTGGGAATGGAAAGAAAGTATAAGCAACTGTTGGGAAATGTATAAGGTTTTATTTATAATAAAAACAGTATTTTATTTGAATGAAGAAAACTGACACGAGTCTATCTGTTCTGAACTGTTTTAACAACAAAAATCATAATTTCTAGATTAGTCATGTTTGAACAGAGATTATGAGGCATGGAAAGTGTTAATAATTCAACTAATATACTTCTAATTTTTGCTAATGTTGTTAATCATATTTTGCCTCTAAAGTCTTTCTGCCTGAAATTAGATATATTTTTGCTTGTATTAAGCAAAGTCTTAGATGAAAAATAGTTGTGACTTATTTCATTTCAGTAACTCCCTCTTCCCCTCCCCCTGACATGTGTTTGCTGTGATTAAAGCCCTGCCCATAGGAGAGGCCCAGAAGTCTGCCTGAGCATGTATTGGGATGTTTCCCATGACAAGTAACAGAATTTCCAGCTAAAAGTGTCCTAAACGAGGAAGACGCTTATGGCGTCAGGGGGAAGGAAGCTGGGCCGGCTGCCAGCCGCGGAGGCCTGCGCAGTCTCAGCTCTCTACTCCACCACACTCGCTCGCTTGCTCGGCTTGTTGGCTTTTGTCTGTGAGCATCCCCTCCTGCCACTGCTCTGATGCTGTGTCCTCACACCACTGTGACCAAAGGCAGGGGCAGTGACTCCCCTTCCATCACTTCCTTGAACAGGGAAGTAAAGCCATTCTGAGACGCTCTCACCGTCACCCCCTCAGCAGACTAACTCTCTTGCTGCTCCCATTGGCAAGTGACTAGCACTGGCCCTGGAGAACTGGGGCGGAGTGGGTGTCAGCCTCTACAGTGAGAGGGAGTTTCATAGAAGAAAAAACTGGAATAGAAATAGACAGGAAGAAAACACTAAGTGACGTATATATATTATCTATCTATCTATCTATCTATCTATCTATCTATCTATCTATCTATCGGTATATGTGTGTGTGTATGTATATATAAAGTGTGTGTATATATATATATTGATTTTAGAGAGAGAAAAGGAGAGGGAGAGAAACATGGATTGGCTGCCTCCTGCACGTCCCCTACTGGGGATTGAGCCCACAACCCAGGCAGGTGCCCTGACCAGAAATCAAACCAGCAAGCTCTCTGCTTGGGGCAATGCTCACTGAGCCACACTGGCCAGGGCGCTGTGATACGCTGGACCGCTCACAGAGCCGTCATAGGTCTGAAAATGGTAATCTGAAGTTTTATGCTGCCTTGAAAAATGAGTTGTTATTTTTTAAATGTATTTTATTGAATTTTTTACAGAGAGGACGGGAGAGGGATAGAGAGTTAGAAACATCAATGAGAGAGAAACATCGACCAGCTGCCTCCTGCACACCTCCTACTGGGGATGTGCCCGCAACCGAGGTACATGCCCTTGACCGGAATAGAACCTGGGACCTTTCAGTCCGCAGGCCGACGCTCCATCCACTGAGCCAAACCGGTTAGGGTGAAAAATGAGTTTTATTTGTTATTCTAAACTTTGTTAAGTGTGTTTTCTTTTTCGAAATTTACACATAGACTCAAAATGGGAGCTGCTTCTATATCAAATATGTATTCTGCCTTCTATAGATCTTGTTTAGTAGATTTATAATGCACCTTTATTCTGAAGGATTCAGTTCCCTAAATAGCATATGTTCTATTCTAATAACGAACAGGAAGAAACGTCAAAGGAGGAGGCCTTCCAACGGGAAAGGCGGGGATGATGGGAATCCTAGAGGAAAAGGAGGGGCGGAGCAGGACAGCAGTGACTAATCGGACGGTCTCCTGTGAGCGTGAACT